GGACATCATGTCCTTTTCACACAGGTTTAACACTGAGTCACTGTTCACATCTAAACAAGCAGCAGATGGTGGAAACCAACAACAGGTCAACTCATGTCCGGCAGAGTGACCCAATTATTATTATTATTTTTTGAAGGGATTATTACCCCCAGGAAACAAACCACCAATCGACTAACAACCGGTTTCCTACTTATTGCTGGTAAACAGAGACGTGTGTATGGAGTAAGGAACGTTGGTCAACATTTCGTCCTGCTCGGATCTCTCACTTGCGAGGCGAGTGCTCTAACCACTGAGCTGCAAGTGTGATGACACGCGTATTGTGATGAAACTCCAGGCTTATTACAGAGCCCTCACCCTTAGTGAACACTTACAAATTATTTACATCATTTTCTCCTGTTTCTTCCAGCTGTCGGTCTGTCATTTGCAGATTTCCGGGGAACCTGGGATTCTGAGGGAGGGAAAAGGGGAAGTGTTATTACATCGGCAATCAGGCAGAGGTGAGAGAGAGAGAGAGAGAGAGAGAGAGAGAGAGAGAGAGAGAGAGAGAGAATGTGTGAACAATTTAAATTTTGGGAATGGAAATTATTTTAAAAAATTAAAATGTCAGAAAATATTCTTGAGAGAGGCATCAAAATTGCTTCACCCACAAAAATATACAGTCAGTTCACTTAACAGTGTTTTCTGTGAAGTGCTTTGAGATGTCTCGATGACGTGACAAGGTGCTGTATCAAATGCAAGGATTATTATTACATTACATTATTATTATATTATATGTATATCTAGAGAGAGAGAGAGAGAACCCTGTATGGAGGAATGGAAGTACAGGAATCTGCAACCTTTGGTCCGAATGGCCCAGTGGTGTCTGTTAAAGCTGATTTCATCTGGGTTAGGCTTAGCACTAGAGAGAGAGGAGGGGAGGGAAGATTCGAGAAGGAACCCAAAGAGGCTGCTTACTTTGCTGTGGAATTCCATCTTTGTTATTAACAGTTTGAGGTAGATGCTGCTCAGCCGCCCATAGCCTTCGCTTAGGTGTCCCTGTGCGGGAGAGAGAGAGAGACGGTAATTACACTTAGCACACACAGGAGAAAACATTAGAACAAGCCACGTGTGTAAGTGCCGAGAGAATCAGTCGTTGGCTTTTTCTGGGATGTTGCTCTGAGCAAATCAGCCGCTGAATTGGCCCAGAAACCCCCCCACCACCGCTGTCACTTCACTTCACTTTATAGTCAAAAATCCTATTGCAGTTGATGATCTACCGTCCAAATGTGTCCAAGCACCTCACAGGAAATAACAGCTCTGGTGTTATTATTATATTTTTTTAGCTAAAACGCGGTGACCTGTTTGAATACAAAAAGGTCCACAGCCGTGAAAAGCCCCTCGATTCTGAGCCCAACACACTTACCCACATCCTGCTCATATCACTCAGCTCCCCCTTGTAACGCATGGAATCCTGTAGCACCTGGAAACAATACAACAAGTGACATTTACACGGAGCCTTTCACGTCGGGAGGAGGTCCCAAGGCACTGGACAGTCAGGGATTTAGACCCGAGCTGGGGGTTGGGATCAGGAGGGATAGAGAACAGGGGGGTAGGAGGGTGACCGAAGGCGCGATCAAAGAGGAGGGTCGTGATACTGGCCTTGAAGGAGGCATGATGAGTTAGTGAACGAGGACACTACCTTCAGAGCCAGCAGAGAAGAAACATTGCGTTGAACGCTTTCAAGAACGAAGTGTTTGCTCGGTCGGGCAGAAGAGAACATACGCTGCAGAGATAAACTGTACAGCACAACCAGGGAACAGCATCACTGTAGCTCAATGGTTACAGGGCAGGGCGAAACGTTGGGCAAGTTTACTTACTCCACACATCTCTGTTAACAGCAATAAGTAGGAATCCGGTTGTTAGTCGAGGGGCAGATCACTTTTCAGGGGGTAGTACCTCCAAAAAAAAAAAATTGGTCACTCAATCCACCACTGTCTGTGGGACGCTGCTGTGTGCAATTGGCTGCCGTGTTTCGCCCACAAAATACACAGTCAATTCACTTTGCAGCGTATCCTGTGAAGCGCTTTGAGACGTCCCGAAGACGCAATGAGGCACCGTATCAAAGGCCAGGATTATTATTATCGTTACTGAGCAGACAATGCACAGTTCCTCCCGCAAATCTCAGCACAATGACCGACCAGAGGGCAAAAGGTTCTGCACAGTATTGGAGAGGAGAGAGGACTGTGTATCTGTGAAAGGATCCTTAATGTTTGAACAATTTCCTCCCAGGTTCCTGTAACCAACAATCAATGTCAGACTCGCTCCGAGCCCCCCGGGTCATCAATAATGTCTGGCTGGTGGTTAGAAACCCATCAGAAAGCACTTTACCGTGTGCCTGATTAGAGATGGTTCCCCACCAATGCCTGGCTGCAGTCAGCCCCCATCACTCACAGGCACAGCATTCCCAGATTCCCAGGTATTATTCATTCCTTTTGACCTGACATAAAGGGGCTGTTGGGGGGGGGGGATTTCTGGATACTTATCAGCCTCGCTCGACCATCATGGATGTATCCCTCAGTATCTGCGGTTTACAAGAGGACAGTTTAATCCAGGAATCTTCCCCCTGAGGCCGAAAAAAAAATCCTACGAAGGTATTCATGAATTTGGACCTTTGGGACATTCAGACCCCGCCTCATCCCCAGTGCAGGCAAACAGAAGATAATAATATTAATGATAATAATATTAATAATTCTTCCATTTGATACAGCGCCTGATCACGTCTTCGAGACGTCTCGAAGCGCTTCGCAGGATACGCTGTAAAGTGTACATTTTATGGGTGAAACGCGGCAGCCATTGGGACACAGCAATGAGTGTCCCCACAAACAGCCGTGGGCTTGGCTGAACAAATTATTGTTGTTTTTTTTACAATTTTTGAAGGGATTATGACAAAATCGCGACTCCCTCCACAGTAAATCCTAAGAAGCACTTTGAGACATCCTAACCACATGACAGACAGAAAATGCAGCATTTTATGAATAGATTTCTTGGCCAGAGAGAGCTATCCAATTCCCTCTTGAACACCCTGGAGCAGAAACAAGATCGCAAAGTCAGCTGGGATGAATACAGCCTTCGGCCCATCTGATCTCATCCCTCCGGCACACCCGCCCTAATGTCCTCCCGTCACAGCTTTTTTTTTCAAAATAAAAGAAAATGACTCCAGCCTCCTGGCCTTAGCCAGCGTTCCTGGCAACCTGTCCCAGGCATTAATGATCCCCTGGGTAAAGAAACACTTCCTGCTCTCCGGGCTCTAATTACCCTGTGCAACTCGAAACCCGTGCCCTCTTGTTCTCCTGGCTCGGTGTATCAGACAGCACTCGTGTGGGTTTACTTTGTGTACATTACACACCTCCTCCAACTGTCTGCTAACGTCAGCGGAGAAATCTTTGCAATCTGTCCTTTGCTGGGCATTAATCAGCCTGGCATTTGATACACACCCTGATCACTTCTTCGAGACATCTCAAAGCGCTTCACAGGACTTACTGTAAAGTGGAGTGACTGGATAGTTCGAGGGCGAAACGCGGCAGCCAATTGCGCACAGCAGTGTCCCACAAACAGTCGTGGATTGAGTGACCAAACCATTACCATTTTGTTCAGGGATTATTACCCCCGGATTCACAACTGGTGGTTTGCAGTGGCTCCAAACGTAAAGTATTGTCAAAGCTGTAAATATATTGCAATGTGCCTGTCATATTAAAGGCATCTCCTGTGAGGGGAATGTGCTCTGTATTGTTGGGACATATTGAATACGAAACAGGAGCTAAATCGCTGGTCTATCCAATCAGACCTGTACTGGAGGCCAAGCTGTGGTTTTGATAGCAAATAAATACAAGGCAGTCAGTCGGTCGGTCAGGTCTCAGTTAGTCAGTCAGCCATTAAACCTTCACTGTAGATATTCAATAGCTCAATCACCTTACACAAAAAATCCCCGGCTGCAATATAGATTTTATGGCAACTTTCACTTCATCTCATTTCATCGCATCACAACTTCAAAGAGAGCAGCCTAGTGCTGAGGGCCCTGCGGGAGTGGGGCTATTGTGAATGCAAGTTGATGTTGCTGGTGTTAAACATGGTGAGGGGTTTCCGGACGCACATCTCGGGCACCCGGTCCAACCAAAACACAGTCAACAGTCGAAAAGAGAGAAGAACATCTCGACGGGTGTTCCCCACAGACAGCCATCGGGTGTTTTTGTGATACCAGCTCCTCCTGATATACATAGACGCACGCACGCACGAATGCACACACACATGAGTGCACACACGCTCACACAGGGCTGAGATCAGCTGGGAACGAACACCCTTTAATGTGGCTCATTAATCAGAGCTGTCAGTGTCAAGGTGACATGAGATCTACAATGATTGTTGGGTGGAATCGCGGTGTTCAATAATTCATCTATTCCGTCGAGTGTCCGATTACTACAGCATCTCCCGAGTTACACGGACATCAAGCTGAAGCTTTCCTGTCGTGGGTAAAGTTGTGAGCTGAGCTGCTGGGTATCAGATTCAATCTCCCATCGTGCTCGGTTATCTACTAGTTATTACAGTAATAGACCAACGCTCTCTCTCTCTACACCTCCCTCTTGCCATGCTTCCCTTGGCTCCAACGCCACAAAATAGGTAGTCCTGTAGCTCAGTGGTTAGAGCGCTCGCCTCGCAAGCCGGAGGACCCTGGTTCGATTCCCGGGCAGGGCAAAACCTCAGGCAAGTTTCGTTACTCCACACGCCACTGTTTACCCAGCAGTAAGTAGGAAAATGGTTGTTAGTCGACCGGCGGACACTTTTCCGGGCATAATAATCCCTTCAAAATAAATAAATCAAAATAATAATTTGATCACTCAATCCACGACTGTTTGTGTGCAATTGGCTGCCGTGTTTCACCCACATAATAGTCAATTCGCTTTACATTCTGTGAAGCGCTGTAAGACGTCTCGAAAACGTGATAAGGTGCTGTATCAAATGCAAGGACTGTTATTATTATTATTATTATTATTATTATTCACATTATTATTAAATGTCAAACGTCGAACGAGAGTGGTGGGATGTGACTTACGCTGGAATGCCCATCCCGGAGCAGCTTATGGAAGACGTGGCAGAATTTCCAGCACAGGACGGCATTGCTGGACAGCGGCAACCGGTTGACCACCGACCAGAATGTCTGCGCCCCTTTCTCGTGGTGCGTGCCCAGGATACATGGTGCTCTGCGTCGTTAAGGAAACTCACACCGGCCACACTGACTAAATCCCGCTGAGATCCGCAGCAACTCGCACTTACGCAGCGCCCCGGATTATTAATAATAATAATTATTATTATTGCGTAATACATAAGTAGCAGATAATCCAAGACTGTTTGTGGGACGTTGCTGGGTGCATTTGGCTGCCGCGTTTCACCCACAAAATATAGTCACCTCACCTTATATTATATATCCTGCGAAGCGTTTTGAGACGTGTCGAAGCCGTGATAAGATGCTGTATCGAATGCGAGGCATGTTATCATTATCATTGCCGCCGGGTGATCAGGGGCTGGGCTTGTGGTGTCTGTCAGGGGGGGGGTGGGAGTGTCTGTCAGAGAGTGTAATAACCTGCTACTGCTCTCAACCGGCTCAAGTCATAACACAGTCCCCTCTGTAGAGGAAGGACATCAAAGAGCTCTGAGCTATCAGGGTGGTGTGCTTGTTTGCGCTGGGAAATTTCTGCTTCATATCCTGAGGAAATCTCTCTCTCTTTCTCTCGAGTCAACTTGATGTTAAACGCGCCACCCCTGCCAGCCGGCGCTCAGGCTCCCAGACAATCCCCGGATTTTACTGCGTTACAGGATGTGCCAGTTGGCGATTTTCTACTTAGAGAAAGTGCTTTTTTTAACGTTTGTTTTCCAGTAAATGTGCAACGCAGCCCAACGTGCCGAGAGAGAGAGAGAGAGAGAGAGTGGGAGGGCGCAGGGGGGTGGGGGGGAGTGTGGGAGGTGGAAGAGGGCGACACAACCCCAGGTACCCCCAGTTATAGCTGGATATAGTACAACATGGTAACTAACAGCTCAGGTGCTGACAGCACAAAGCCAGACATCCAGCAGCCTCAACACGTCACACAAACACACACACACACACCCACGCAGCGGCTCAGGAAACCCACCCGCCCCGCTCACTCGCCGCGAGCCTCCCCCCCACCCCCACCCCCACACACACACCAGCCCTGCGATGAACAAGCGCTTTGTGTTTCCTTCCAATTCCACCCAACGAAAAAGGATATTCCTGGCGTGCTTTTCCTTCACAGCGACTTCCTGTGTGTTAATGGCTTTATTGATGCTGACTGTCTGAAAAGCAGGGAGAGAGAAAGAAATAATCAGGACATTCGCTCAGTGTCAGCTCCCGAGGAAATCAACAGCCACACAAACACGAGCCCAAACTCCCAGTCCATCACCTCCTGTGATGGAGAGCCTCGCTTGTAAGCTGCGTCTGCAAGCCCAACAGTCACTACACTTCAAAGCAACTCTCTGTGTAAGATTGCCATGTTACAGTATAAGCAGCTGTATGATAATAATAATAATAATCACTGCATTTGATACGGCGCCTTATCTCACACCTTCCAGACGTCGCAAAGCGCTTCACAGAATATACTGTAAAGTGTAGTGACTGTGTATTGTACGGGCGAAACACAGCAGCCAACTGTGCACAACAGCATCCCACGAACAGTCATGGACCGAATGAACAAATTATTATTATTATTACACTTATTTATTTATTATGCCCGGAAAAGTGAGGGATGGTGGTTGGGGGGGGGGGGGAAGAGGGATGACCCTCAGGGGGTGGCAGGGGAAGCGAGGCAGTTCCCACGCTATTATTAGAGCAAACCGAGCACAGCAGCCTCCCTCGCACACTGCACCTAACCTTATTACAGCACCAGGAGAGGAAGCGAACACCCAAACACCAGCCCCCAAACAAGGAGCAAATGTGTAAACAGGGAGTCTGAGACAGGACAGAATCACTGGCATCGGGACTCGGGAACAAGCCAATGCCGTGGGTGAACAGTAAACCCAGTAACACCTCAAAGCTCCCAATAAAAACACTCGAGCCCACAATACAATCCCATCTCGGTTTGACAAACAAAATACAGTCACTACACTTTACGGCGTATCCTGTGAAGCGCTTTGAGGCGTCTCGACGACGCGATGAGGCGCTGTGTCAATAGCCGGGGTTATTATTAGGAAAGAACCTCCACTGTTGATCCCCATTTCGAGAGGGGCAGAAAATCGGAGACCTTAACCTTACACACAGCGAACATTCGGGCAAACAAATGGGAGTTCGATACGATAAACATAAGATACGCAGCGTTTAGGAAGTGAGAAGAGGAAACACACGCACTCCCTTGATGAAACAGCACTTGCTAAGGGGGAAGGAAGCCGAGAGAGATCCAGGGGCGTGAGTCGACTTATCACTCACGGTCACCAAACAGTGGGAGGCGACCATACGTGAGGCAAACAGGAGACTGCAAAACCAATCCACAAGCGATATACAGTGACCTGGTCAGACTCGAGTAGAGGGAGGGTTGGGAGGGAGGGAGGGAAGGAAGGTGGGAGGGAGGGAAGGTGGAAATGAATGTGTGGGAAGCCAGCACAACAACAGATTTAAATATTTACAAGCCGAGAGGGAGTCTGTCAATTATTTACTATTGCCGTTGCGTTATTTTTCCCTGTTGGCCGCCACACCTGACTCGCGCCTCCAGCGAGATGAGCAGAAGAACTTGCTCGATCGAAGAAGGACAAGGTCCATCCGGTCGGCCATCCACCGGCCTGGCAGCCACTTGACATGTCATGTCCCGCATTATACACTGTGTCCCCAGATATTACTTCCAGAAAGAAATCCATCTCATTTGTGCTCGAAAGCGCAAATCGACGCTTTCTGCTTCCCCCGGGGAGCCCGTGCCACGAATTTACCCGGAATTTACCCCCTTCAATCGCAGGCCGTGCCCTCTGGTTCCCCTGTTCTGGAGCGTAGAACCGGAAGATATGAAATGGTTGGGATGAGCAGCTGTTCCAGTGAGGTGCCTCTCGCTCTGCTCACAAGTCCACGTATTAAACTTCATTTGCTGGGACTGTTTCTAATATATTGCAACTGGGCTGAGGTGGGGTTAGTGTAACCAGGGATTTCACCACCGCAGCCCCCGACCCCCTCACCCCCCTGCCCCACACCCCATGCCCTGACCCCCCTCAGCCCCTCACCCCGACAACTGTCCTGTAAACGTATTATAATAGTCATAATAATCCTTGCATTTGACACAGTGCCTCATCGTGTCGTCGAGACGTCTCAAAGTGCTTCACAGGATACACTGTGACTGTGTATTTCTTGTGGCGAAAACGCAGCAGCGAATTGCAGCCGTGGGAATACGTTTGCTGCTTTTTTTCCATCGGTCTTTTTTTATAGCAGTAGCAACTCACTGGCACCCACTTCCTGTGACATCCAGAAAGAGCAGAGATAACGCAGCTATTAGTTAGCACACGGGAGGTCAGCAGAAGACAACGCAGACACAGCCACACTCTGTGAAGGTGCCTTCGGTCATCTCCCTCCAACATGTCTCCTTCTCTTCCCCCCCCAACCCCACCCTCGATGTTTAACTATGCTTAATAGGTCAGGGCAAAACCTTAGGCAAGTTTCCTTACTCCCCACGCCTCTGTTTCCCACCTAAAGTAAGAACCCGGTGGTTAGTCGATTGGCAGATCACTTTTCCAGGGGTAATAATCCCTTAACAAAATAAATAACAATAATTGCTGTGCGCGATTGGCTGCTGCGTTTCGCCCACAAAATACACAGTCAGTTCACTTTACAGTGTATCCTGTGAAGCGCTTTGAGACGTCTTGAAGGCGTGATCAGGCGCTGTCAAATGCAAGTGCTAGTATTATTATTATTATTATTAAAGGTTTGGGGCTCTCGGTTGAGCTGTAGGGCAGCGGTTCCCAAGCCCCGGTGTAATGAAGCCCCACAGAGAAGCGGATTATTTTGTTACTTGAGCTTTCTCAATGGGGGGGAAACACACACAGGAAGCCAGTCATTAGGTGCTGACCCTCAGTGGAATGCAATGAAGCGAGGAATGTGGAAGCAGACAGTTGGCAGAACACTGGGACCAGCTTCGCTTCCGCTCACCAGAACTGGCAGTGAGGGGAGGGGGGAGGGAGGGATGGGGAGGAGAAAGGAGAGGGAGGGGAGTAAAGGAAAAGCCGGCCTAGACTCCCTCACAGCTGTAGATTCGGTGGCTAAACAAAGGCAACGGTGCCAACAGCAACCGTGTTCCTGATTACTTTGGCCATCCAGGGATTGGAAGCTGCCCCCCGCCCAGCCCCCCCTCACCCCCCATCCCCCCCCCTCACACCCCCATCCCCCCCGCGCCCCGAGAGCACATTCCAGCCGGGGAATGTACCGAGTGCAGAGGCCAAAGCTAATTAACTTAAACAACAAAACCCAATGACGGACACACAGGTCCCGGCCTCTCGGCCCCGCACTGCCCCACAGGCAGGAAGCGAAGGCTTCAAACCACATTCACACACGGACCAACGGTAAACCCTTCACATTCGTCCGGCAGAGAGAACACTGAACAAAAGCCATTCCCTCCCCCTCCTCCGCCTTCCCCACCCCTCTCCTCCCCATCCCCATCCCCATCCCCTCCCCTCTCCAAGGACTGCGCTGAGCAGGAGTATAATGAGAGCCAGAGAACGTGTCAGACTCCAGTTCCCCACCCCATCTCCTGACTAACAGATGACATTTGTAACAGCGTTTTAATCACATTGAAATGAAACATCTCGGGGCAAAACCTCAGGCAAATTTCCTTACTCCACACACACACGCACGCACGCACACACGCACACACACACACGCGCCTCTGTTTCCCTCGCAGTCAGTAGGAACCCGGTTGTTAGTCGATTGGCGGATCGCTTTTCCGGGGATAATAATCCCTTCAGAAAAGAACTAATAATTTGGTCACTTTAATCCACGACTGTTTGTGGGGGACGCTGCTGTGTGCAATCGGGCTGCCGCGGTTTGCCCACAAAATATACAGTCACTACACTTTACAGTGTATCCTGCGAAGCTCTTTGAGACGTCTCGAAGAAGGCGCCGTATCAAATGCCAGGATTAGTAGTAGTAGTAGTAAGTGCCCTCGGTGTGAAGGGCTCGTTATGAAGGCACGGTGTTGCAGTATCTGAATCACACGACAGACAGCAGATAAAGTTAATAACCAGTGGGGTGCGCTGAGGCAGCGAGGCCGAGGAAAGGGAAAGCAACAGGTTGGACTTGATGTCGGGCGACACTGACTTTCATATTAAGTGCTTGAGGCCTGACAGCTGCAGGAAATGTCTGGAGAGACTGAAACACAAGTCTGACACAGAGAAACAACTCCATCAGCACAGGGCACAACATCGAACCACAATGAAAATAGGGCGACAGCACCAAAGGGGCTGAATCCTGGGCAGAAGTGAGTCTCCATCGGAAGAGGACGGGGGGTGCGGGGAGGGGGAGAGAGAGAGAGAGAGAGAGGGGGCCACACGTGGGCCACACGTGAGCCACACGTCAACTAAACTGCCCAGGGATGAGATCAGCAGCGCTGGTCAGCAGCAAACGCTGCTCATGTCTGCTGCCTGGACTGAGGACAGACACACTTACAGAATAATAACAACAATAATAATACTAATCCTGGCATTTGATACAGCGCTATATCACGTCTTCTCGAAGACGTCTCAACGCGCTACACGGAATACACTGAAGTGTATTTTTTATTGGTGGGCGAAACGCGGCAGCCACTTGCACACAGCAGCGCAGAGAGACAGTGACCACATTACTATTAGTAGTAGTAGTAGTGGTATTTTTTTTTAAAAAGGAACTATTACCCCCCGGAAAGGTGATCCGCCAATCAACTAACAAGTGAGTGGGTTCCTACTTACTGCTGGTAACTAGAGGCGTGTGCACGTGTGCGCGGGTGCATGCGTGTGTGTGGGAGTGTGTGCATGTGTGCGGGTGCGTGTGTTTGGAGTAATTGTTGTCCCTGATCCATACAGTCACCGCACATAACGTTTGGAATAATCTCTGGGCACAGAGAGAAAGAGTGACGAGTGCACTGTAGCCGCCAACAACAACAACAAACTACAGTAACATTTGTGTAGCTGTTGTTGGTTAATGGGTATGTGGAGTCCTGCAGCTCAGTGGTTAGAGCACTCGCCTCGCGAGCGAGAGGACCTGGGTGGGTCCCAACCCCCCAAACTCTGGAACACTCTTCCTCTATCCCTCTGCCCATCCCTCTGTCTCGCCCCCTCCTTCAGGTCGCGCCTGA